GTTGTAATTTTTTATATGAGTCAAGAGTCAGGAGGCTGCAATAACTTTAATTTTCTTTTGATTTTTCAATCCCAGGTTCAGGATATCATGCTGACAGCTCTGGTTTGATCAAGGATGAAATCATTTCACAGCAAGATAATAGCACCAGGGAGTTTGAAGTGGACAACAAAGCAAATCAGGAAGTAAGACGGCGCCAACAGCCAACAAAAGTTCCAAAGACAGGAGAGAGTTCAGAGAAGAGCAAAACAGTGTCAGTACCGCGAACTGCGGCTGTGCCTGACGGGGCGGAGGATGCTGCTGCCTGGACACAGAATCAGCAGACAATCTTTGAGTGGGCTCTCAAGCAATATCCTAAAGGCACAGACAAGAGATGGGATCGTGTTTCGGAGCATATACCCGGAAAAACAAAAGTATGTATTTGTGAACAGTGTGTCTTTATAGTGACCTGTATGTTGGGAGGAGGGGGGGGGGTAATTTTTTTGTTTTTCATTTATGTATGCATGGTATTATTACCTGTTTGCACTTTTTCTAGAGCATTTATTTATTTTTTTTATGTTCAATCTTGAATATGTCTAGGATCGATTTATCTCATTCGTACCACCATGATGAAATGCTCATCTGTCCATAACATTAGCAGCAAATTCTTGCTACTGATTTGAAAGTATATGATTTGGTCAGATTTATAAGTGGAGAAATAGTTTAGATAAGACTTTTTTGTGGCATACAGTTTGTACTAATTGTTTGACAAGCATTGCTTTCTGCTATTATAATGCTTTGAGACATTTTTCTTTTTTCTGTTTCTATTTCGTAGGAAGATTGTGTTGCAAGATTCAAGCTGTTGGCTGAGCTGATCAGCAAAAAGAAGAAAATGGTGCAGGGAGGCCAGGAGAGGTGATACCCACTGCTGTGATAGAACTTTACCATATCTCTTGTCAAATTCAGTGTATGTTATTCTTATACAGATGCTGCTTATGCCTTTTATCTTTTGAGGTTTAATCTAAAGCTTTATGGATGGTAATCCTTAAGGAAAAAAGACATGTTTAAAGCATCAGACAGCCTGGTTTATTATTAAATAAGGCCAGCTTTCTCTTTGAAAATAAAACACATTTTTGGAGGGGAATATTTTGTATTCTATAATTCAAAGATACAGTTGAACCTGTCCAAGATGACCATTCATTGCCTAGGAGAAAAGTAGTCATCTTAGATAGTCTTCTTGGACAGTGTCATTGTATTTTTTTTTTTAATACAAGGGGGGGAAGTGGAAAATGGTCGTTTGTTCAGGTAATTAACTTGGACGTGTGGTCATTATAGCAGGTTAGACTGTCTTTGAAGAATGCACTTTGTGCAAGTGATTCATGATACTCATTAAACAAAAAATAGGAAACATGTATACCTCGCAGAAAGAGGGAATGTTCAAATTCTGTAGGCTACTTGTTTAGTTGAGTATAGCTGACTTGAATGTTTTTTAAAAATATCTTAAAGAAAATCAAGGGTTTGTTTTTTCCCCCTGATTATTTTATACAGAATTGTGAATGATTTGTATATACAGGGACGTTGTAGATTAAACCTTTCATGTTCTAGTCCTGTTCAGCTTGGAAGAGTGCTTTTTCTGTTGAAACATTTTCTTCTTTTGAAATGTGTATGTGATCAAAATACAGCTGCTAGATTTGAATCCTAAGTCAGAGTTAAAGATTTTGTTTGCTGAATTGCCTTATGTGAGAGACAACTAAGAAAATTGTATTTTTGCAAACAACAGATAATTGTTGAGTATTTTAAGATATTCATAAAGTTCTATTTCCAAGATTATTGACTTGCGTAAACAGCTTAAAAAGATATAACTTCCAATTTGAGAAAAGATTCACACTTTTGTTGTTTATAAAGTTCTGCAGAGCTGTTAAAAGTGTATGGGTATAGTGTAAAATCTAGGTCTGACTTTATTTTACTGCATCAGTTGCAATAAATTGTTAATGTTACTATTATTGTTTTTTGCCCTTTGTTGACGTTTGACTGTGTATGTGTGTTTAGTGTGGAGATAGTGTTTTCTCTGTAAGAAATTTTCAAATTATTCTTAATAGACAGGTATTCCATGATCCCCACTCCCATCAATTTTTTCAACTGTTCATGCAACAATGTAACTTGCGGCTATCATCACTATAACAAAAGTATAATGTGCCATTGCTTTATTTATGGAAAATCCTAGTACTTTATTAAAAGCTGCCTTTATACATTGGTAAAACACTGAAATTTGTTACTCCGCTTTTCTCGCCCAATAAACTTTCATTTTGTTGCTTGGTACCTTAAGCCTGTGCCATGTGCATTTGTTTCAGGATTTTGCTGTTTTCTGTTTAAACATCTCACTGCTTTCTGGAAACATTCACAAATGAATAAATTTTATTGAAAGAAAAGGGCAACAGAACAAGTGGGATTTAATATTGTACAGCTTCACATACTTTTCCTGCTGTAGGGATTGTACAACTCTGTCCTGGTTCAACTCAACCTTGCTGTTATACATTTTGCCCTAACTTCCAAGAACATGAGCTTCAACTTTCTTTTGCTAGTTGTTAGTATAAACTCATTTACTTCTGGCTGCCTAGTGGTGAAGTCTTTTTAAAAATCTTTTTCTCTATCGCATAACACCTAAAGTCCAGTATATCTATCATACAAGGCATCCTGCTCAGTTCTTCTGTTCCGTGGCAAAGTAATTCTTACTACAGCCATACCGGTATCTTATGATGCAGTTATTTGCAAGGATACTGCATGGAAGAGAGGTGTGGAGATACTATTACAATACTCACTTTAAAAATGTGATGCATTTAGCACATATTGCCTTCATCATGAGTTTTCAAATTGCGACTGAAACAAAACAATTACAGGAGGTCTTATTCTTAGAGGTTATTTATGTGAAATAACATATCCACTTAGTGCGAGATGCCAGTGTGTGTGGGAGGCGAGAGGGCTCCTCTATTAAGTCCTACTTTATCTATGAGGTACTGTCTCACAGTTGTTTCTGTCTGCCTGTTTGATATCTCTGTAATTGCAGAAAACCCTTTTTGATGTGTTGTTCCTCAACTTGGACAAAATCATAAATTTGTTCAGGTGACAGTTTGCTGCTACAAGTTAAGCAGTGTTGTCTTCCCATAGTCTTTTGTCCACAAAACAAAATACTGTACATTGTTTTGTAAAGGTGAGAATGGATTACAATATGGTTTTGTGAGTTACTTTGGCTAGTGTGTAGCCAGGGGTCTCTAACTCAAATTGCCCAAGGGGACACTGGAGGTAGGGTCTGGTTGAGCCTAGACCGCCTCAAGTATTCTACACCAAAAATGTTTCAAGATTTTTTTTTACTTCTTGCCAAAACGGTGCATATATGAGAAAATCGTGGGGACCACCCTCACACTGAACATTGATGTTAAGTAAGGACTGCAAAATATTGTCCTGCAGACGTCAGTTGTCCCATGGGCTGCAAGTTGAGACCCCTGTGTACTGTTAAGCAATAATGTTGTATGTGAGGTAGGGCTGGATCCTGCTCGTCAAATTTGAGAGTGGCGATTCGCGATTCAGTCGGCTTCAATGAATCGCGAGTACGCGAGCGCTCGTGGAGCTGTGGCGGAACACTGACTGAAACGGAACAGTGTCATATCAACGCCTCTTGGCGAGCGCGAGTCCCACTCTTGTTGTTCCGCCATCCTCTCCGCCCCGCACCCTTTGTTGCGCTGCTCTATCAACTGACCTCAATCAGTGACCCCCATAAATCCCTCCCCCCCCCCCCCCCAAACCCCACCATTCGCTAAAACAATGGCTCCTCAAAATTCCTTCTGTCTACTGGTTGGACCCCGTTCATTTTGTTTTAATAGGGGGGTTGGACTATCCATCTTATACTAAGGGTTCCGTTCCATTCTTGCGCTCGTGACTCGACTCAGCAGTAGGTTAAACAAGCCACGAGGTGGTGACAGCGACATGTGAGTGAATCGGGAATCGTTTGGCGATACTGTTCCGCGTTCCGCTGAAGTGAATCGCGAATCGCGTTCCACAGGAAGGAGTGGCGATTCAGTTCGGTTCTCTCTCGCACTCGTGACCCAGCCCTATTGTGAGGAAAGTGATAGTTGCCGACGACTTGACACCGTCTGTATTATAAAGGCAAATCTGCTTTCATGCCATGGTCGAGAGAAAAATTGTTTTCAGGACCCAGACTTTTTCTCTGGCAGAATTAACCAGACAAGAAACTGGAAGTACACATTCTGTTCTGTACTCTAATTTAAAGTGCTCACGGTAATTGTTTTTTTTTTTCTTTCTTCCAACTTTCAAGTCAGTAAAGTTTGCTGTCAAAATGATATCAAGAATTGCGATCCACAGCAGCAGTTGTACATTGTTACTGTATTGCTATTCCAATCTACTATCCCAGGTCAGGTCTCATTTTTGTTTCTTGTGGCTGTGAAAAGAGAACAACAGTGTGGGGGGAGGGGGGGGGCTGTACTTCATACTCGTATTAAACTAATTTAGATAAGACTCTTTAAGATACTTCCTTATTGCACACTTCTAAATCTCAAATTTAGTGGTTTTATTATAGAAAAAATGTGCATTTTCAGTGTCTGAAAACAAAAAACTACTTGTGTGGACTCCAATTCAAATGTAGACTATCACAGGTGCTGTAATGTATTTATCCATGACGCTTTTCTATGACTGTAACGTGGTGACCGATCAGCTCTTACTCTGATTTCGGCAGGTTATGGGCTTGTTCTCCACTGCCAAAATGTCCTGCTGTAGAGGCTAAAAGTAAAAGTCTTGACAAGTTGTTTAATGTTGCGGTATACATGTTATAGTGTTTTTTAAGTTGAGGTGGGGAAGGAGACATTATTCATTATTGCCAGTGATCCTGCAGATCGGAAGATGTTGGAAAGTCACATAAGGCATAAAGGTGGTCATAAAGCAGGTGAAGTTGGGCTTTTAATTTATTATAAAAATAATAATTATTGTATTTATACAGGGCGTATTCACGCTCTACAGCATGCTCTTTGTGCTTCACAAATACGATCTTCAGGGTACCGCTCTGGTCTTATTTGTTCCGACTCAATAGCACAAAAGTTATTGTGATATTAACCCAGTCCTTGCCTTTGCGACCCAAAACGATGTGCACCATTTGACAGCAATACTACCTGCTGTGACATCACTGACTCTATACTAATTAGACACAAATAAGCCCTAATGTGTCTGCCCTTTGCTTCTTGTGGTCAACTTCTGAGCTACATTTAGTAAGGATTGGGTCGACGGGAAATTACATCCTTATCATGTTGCTTTTACTATTATTATATTACTCCATTACACTGTTCTTTGTAAATGTCTTTCCACACCCCCGCCCCCAATAGGCACAATTTAGATCATTTAGTTTGTGGGGAGTTTTGACTCTCAGAGCCAATCTGGGCTAAGTCAGTTAAGTGGGATACAAAATTCCAGCAGACAGAGATACTCAGTAAAAAACTTTCCCAATCAGGAATTAAACTCAAGTCTTCTGCTTTCAACAGCAACAGGCCTAATCACTACACCACAGACACTAATATTGCCCTACTGGCTCTGTGACCCCTCTTGTCTTTGCAGTCTGTGTGTTTGTCTTGATTGAAGATAATACGTTACTATTACTGTAATTGGTTGAAAGTTCTTGTACTGTTTCATTTAGTTTTTGTTGTTATGGTTATAGTTGTGTGGTGCCCTTACTTTGTAATGTTTTATATATCACAAGAGAATGCCAGTATAATGAGTTTATGTATTTTACTGATAATGTTACTATACTAAATATAAATTGTGTAAGATCTGAATAAAAAGTCAGCTAAAGAACATAGCAACAACCTAAATTTTCAATTGGTCACATGGATGTGTTTGCCTGATTTTTTTTAGAACAACAATTCGTACTAGCATTCATTGTTTATGTAAAGATTAAAGCACTGCATGTTTTTCATTATTGTTTTCTATTTCGGGAAATTCTAGAACACAAACAAAAGTGGATTGGGGTTACGTACAAGGTGATGGGGATGTGCACACATTTTATTCCCATCAATTTAATGGAGACGTATTGAAAGTACTGCCGAAATATATTGCAGTTGGTGCTCCGCCTTTTATTTCATTTATTTTATCAGTATTCTTTGATTGTCTAGCATTCATCTGATGTATTCATGGGTAACCCTCAGCAAGAACCCCCACATGATAAGGATGCATCAAAAGTAAACACAGAACTTTTCAAAGTCATTGATATTTTATTTCCCTTACTTCTGGGCTCAAACAGATTTCTTCTTACATATTATATTTTTATGTTTTCTTCTTTAATGAAAAAAGTCTGATTTCATACAAACTCTCCATTTGCACAGTATGTTCACACACACAAGCACCGTACATACTCCTCATTTAGGTCTCTGATCAGTACTGCTTTTCACATACATCTTTCTGTCTTGCATTTCTTTTTTTTGTTGTTGTCTCCAACACTCTTTGACTGTCACTCTTTTAAAGCGATTCTCTTTTCACAAAACAGACAATAGTTCAGAACAGGTTTATACACTATGCAGCATCGCAGTACCGTCTGATAGACTTACTTCTGTGTTGAAGACTGTATTTTACTGAAATCAATTATGTTAACGGAAAGTGTGGGTGGGGACAGCTTCATGATTTCTTCTTGTTGCACCTAGTTTGTTCTGATTTCTTACTAAATGTCTGTGCAGGTTTATGTGCTCTGTGAATTAGTTGCGTACTTGCACAGGATGGACAGTTGAAATGCTGTGGTTGACATCCCTTACTTACAACTCAATTTAATCCTATCAGATTTAGGACCGAGGTTTGTCCATTTACAGAACTGTACAATCCTTTACTCAAATATATAACATTAACAGAAGGATTTTAGCCTGCCATCTTATCTTTTATATGCATACCAAACATAAAACATCACTTGCAACCTTCACGCGTGAATTCAAGATTGGGTTGCATTAAAAAGTTGATTGGGG